CTTGATTTACACAAAATGGAGCGAAGTCTCACTATACCTGACTTTTTCAATGACAGGAAAAAGTAACGTTAATAAACTTTTCTTTTCGATGGAAAAACTATCCAAAAGCTTCGATTGAATCAAAATTACATTATTGTTGTCTTTCGTCTGCTTTATATTAGTCTGATTGGTCTAGAATGTTTAAGATACAGACAAATTTATCATAATAATACATTTCAAAAGCAAAATTAAATTTTCAAAAATGCAGTTCACACAATCTAACAGCATCGCAAAGAGTGCCAGGTTAGAAGTAAAATTTGGAATAGCTCCAGTAACGGTTTGATTGGTTGATAGAATTCGATATAGGATGTTGTTAGATGTTTGTGCAGGAGTGTACGAGTGGAATAATGATATGGAGATAACGAACAGTATTCAATCTCAAAGTCCATTAAACAATAACCAAAATAAAAGCAGAGCAAACACGGACATCTGAAACATCAGAGTGGGATCAGGTGCCATGGAGGAGTGAACATCCCCACCGACCGGTCACAACCACCGTGTGCTTTTGTCACAATCAAGGAATTACGGAGAAAAAAGTTGTCGTTAATTCAGTGTATAAATAATGGACTTACAATTGGTATGAAAAACGTCAGTCAGCTCTCGACTCAATTATAAATTGTATTTACTGACAAGGTCATTGTATCGACCATATAGAACTTAGGAAATGATGAATTTAAACGAGACTGCTGATATTCTCGTTTCATTAACTTGTTTTTCAATTTGGCTTTTCATACTTAGAAGGCTCTGATTATTTTGCTCGATTTTTAGAATTACCAACAGTGATCAAATACTAATTTGTTAATAAGCAGTTTCTCTTCCCTTTCTCTCTTTTCTTTTCTTTCCCCTCAATCAGCAATTATGAGACTTATCCTTATTGTAATGTATATGATGTTATAAATAATTGCTGATTTGTACTTGCACTTGTGAAATAAATAAATTAAAAAAAAACTTGTTTTTCAATAATTTACCTCATTTCAGAAATTGTTCATACGTAGAGCATGCTCTTGCGTATCGAACCAACTGATATATATTTATACCCAGTATGCAGGTGAAGAAGGTATATTGTTGCTTAAGGAAGGGAGGTTGCAATAAAAAAGTAAAAGTCATCACGTTTATCATAAAGCTTGGTTGTTAGATTACCATTGGCGTCTTTTTCAAGTAAAATATCCAAATATAAAACAGAAGTGTCGCACTATGTAATATCTTTTATCTGAAGCTCACCAGGATAGGCCCTATATTGTATCTACGTAGGAATGAAATTACGACAATGTGAATTGACAATAAGTCTTCGATATATATAAATGTCGAGTTTGAGGCCACAGCAAGTGTTTTCTCCTTTTCACGCATAAGAGTCTGCTCAAATTCTGCTTCATATTAATATCAAAATAGGTCCACTAATAACAGAGCGCAATTTGTACCCATGGTACCCAATGTATTTTGATTTATCTATACTAGAAAACAGGTCTATATCTGTGGATATGGAATGCAAATCATAGGCTTTTTAAACCTTCATTTATACTAAAAATGTAGCTAATACAACCTGTTTTGTTCTACAATATGTATACAAAGGAATTGGTGTGGTTACTCTAAACAATTCCCTTAATTATCAGAGGGTCCGGTTTTGTAATCCAATATATTTCAACTTTAATACAACACATTGTATTTTTTCCTGCAAATACTAATCGACTATTGTTTTCAAACTTTTTAATTACAAAAGAATAATTTTGCTTTGTTATTATGCTTTTATCATCCTACAAATATAAATCTGTAGGACACTTTATTACTGATGATGAAAATAGAGCTAGTAATGAGGACATTAAATCACAAATTTAAAAGGGTCAAATTTAGGAAACCCTGATCTTACTACATATTTTTTTGAATATAACGAATTCTGTGAAGTATTATCCCATTGGTTGAAAAGAACTTTGAAGCTTTGTTCGAGTGGATTTAATGTATTCGTATTAAACGAATGAGGGGGAAATATGAAAATCATCTATCCTTCTTATCACTTGGGGACCCGGGTTAGAAAAGGTCCTCAGTACCGGCTTGCTAGTCGTAAAAGGCGACTAAATGGGGCGGTCCTTCGGATGAGACTCTATAAACCGAGGCCCCGTGTCACAGCAGGTATGGCACGATAAAGATCCCTCCCTGCTCAAAGGTCCTGAGTGCCGAGCATAGGCCTAAATTTGCAGCCCTTCAGCGGCAATGGTGACGTCTCCGTGAAATATTCTGGTGAGGGACGTTAAACAACAGTATACAATCAATCAATCTATCCTTCTGTATTTATTAATTCAGAACTGAATGAAAATAGTTTACTTATAGCTACCTAGGTATTTAAAGCTATCCAAAGTAACTAATATTACCTACTTTCTGTTTTAGTTGCATTTTGTGGCCAAATGCGGGAACGGCACAACATGGTGAGCATGAATCTCTTTATACAGTCACACTGATGATGAATATGACAAAAATTTGACCAAAATTTGGTTACTTCGTACATAATCAATTTTGCATGGAAACTTATGAAAAATTGCCGATTCAGGAAGTAATCATTTTTTTATCAAAATTTTGTCGTATTCATCATAAGAGTAACCGTATCAAAAATTATGGTATTCACCATGTTGCGCCGTTTTGTCTTTAGGCCGCAAAATGCAGAAAATGTATAAAGTGGGTAAAAATAGTTACTTTGGGTAACTTTAAATACAAACTTGGTGTCACGTGACCTGCGAGATTTAGCGAGAAACCACACTTCCGGGTACAAACAAAATAATGGCTCTTTCGATATTGTATTGGGCAAATTATGTTGAAGGGCTATCTAAGATTAAAAGAAAAAGTGAGGCTGCAGTCGAGTCGGGGCGTGTGTTAAAGTTTGTTTTAGATGAACTGCGGGTCATTTCGGCTAATGTCCAAGCGTCAATGAGAGACACTTCTTACAGAGTGCAGGTAAGCATCTCCGATGTATTCTTTCTCCCGTTTTCAGATCGGTGCACATTCTGTTGATTTAGCTATAAAGCTTGATTTAAAGATATGTCTTTATTAAGTTATTCAGAAAATCATTATTTAGCTATTTTTCTCTTTTTTTTTAATTCAATAATTGTTATTTTCAACAAGAACAACAAGAACTGAAGAAGTCGGTTAAAGAGCTTACCATAGCTCATGTTATTTCTGTTGTACTGTATATATATGCCGACTATAAATAAAAGTTACTTAACTTGACTTGAAGAAGTGTGTGAGCTAATGCTCACTAGTAATACCCCGCTCTGATGTGAATATACTCTATCATATTATTACACACGTTCATTTACAGGCAGATGCACAAATAAGTAGGAAGTTGACACCAGAATCATACAAAACACAATAAGATATCAACATCCTTACTTAGGATTAAAAATATCCAAAGACCTTAAATGGAAAGAGCATATAAATATCATCTCAAATAAAGCCAGTGCCACCTTAGGCCTCCTAAGAAGGAATTTACAGCATGTATGGGAATGTAGGAAAAATGGCATACACTGCACTCATAAGATCTATATTGGAGTATGGAGCTATCATCTGGGACTCATACACTACACAGAAAATATCTTAATTAGAATGTATGCAAAGAAGGGGTGCAAGATTCATGATGAAAGAATACAAATTAAGAGAAGATAGTACAATGTCCAAGATGCTCAAAGAACTTGACCTTCCCTTATTACAAACTCGACACCACCAACAAAGGCTGATCTTTTTTTTACAAACTGGTTGAGGGGCAGATACCAGCTATAACACCTGATCAATTCATTAAAAACCACAAAAAAAAAAAAAAAACATCAGACCTAAAGTTTATGGTACGGAAAGATGCACAGATAAACAGGAAGTTGACCTCGGATTTGAACAAAAATGAATCCCACCATATGGCATGCCTCAGCAAAGTATGTGGTAAAATTTCAAGCATCTGTGGTTAGTAGTTGCTGAGGAAACTGAGACCAGAAAATTGTTTTGAACAGACACACTGACGGACAGACAGCTACGTGTACTAGACAGACAGACACACAACAGTAAAACAGTATTATAATACCCCCCTCTCCTTTGCATCTTAGTGTAGCAATAGTATTCAACCTTGAACTCTTCCAAAAACAATGCGTGTGAACATTGCAAATTTCTTGTCCTTCAGAGACTTTAAACGCAAAATTCTTTAAACTTTGGGACTATTAATTATATAAAGCAAGTAATTTGTGACCTCATAGTTCTTGAATGAATTGTAAACAGGTCAATTATGATCAACAAGATAATTCATTGAAACTTATTTTTAGATTTTTTTGGAATCTGAAGACAGTGGCCTTATGAAGTCATCAACATGTGAATGCCCCATGGGGCAATATAAATGTCATCATGTGGCAGCAGCACTTTTATTTGGGTAAAAAGACTTCATTTTCCAGGATTATTTTCATAAAATTAAAGCGCATTACAGTAATTTTTATTTACTGACATAGAATTCATAAATACTCGTGGTTTCATATATCATATTTTTTTTATTTTCTTCGTTGTAAATTTAAATTAAAAACATCAGGTGGTCAAGTGCAAGGCAACTATGTTTTTGAGTACAAAATGTATATTTACATTTTTTTTAATTGCAGATACAAGAGGGCAAGCAAAACTGATATTAAGTGTAGTTGGTTGAAACACCCGAAGTCAGCACCACCCAAAACAACAAAAACAATGGAGGAATTGTACCCCCCTAAGCAGCCTGGATATCGGTAATTTTTTTTTACTAGTGCAAACTACAGTGCATGCAAAAACTTATATAACAAAGAATAGTGTAGATTGATGTTGCTTTTATAAATGCATATGCAGAGCTTTGAAACGTGATGTGAATGCAGAGGACAGATTGTTCTTATTTGATCAACTGGGCCAGTTAGGCAGATTTACAGGTTTTCTTTGAATTGGCAGAAGTTGTGTTATATATTCAGTTGTGAAATATTCTGAATAATTTTTTTTTGTTGCAGCTATAATTAAACTGGTTATTTTCCAATTTATTCTGGTTATATTTACATGTTGTTTTTCATGATTTTGTGTTTATAATTTTATGGATATTCTTCCCTTGTTGTATCAGAAGTTTTCCTGCAAAAATTAAAAAGAGTTTATTTTGAGATGAAATGTCATTTGAAAAGAAATGTTTACATTCCTAGGATCAGACAAAGCTGGATGATATAACAATGTAACAGAATGTGACAATCACTTTAAAGACAATTTTTTAATGTATGTAGTAGACAGTTGACTGGAAACGTTTTACAAAAAGCATAAGAAAACAAACTGATACTAGTGATAGTGTACTTTCTTTTACAAAATAATAAACATATTTTTATTATATTTAGCAATGCATTGGATTTTGTCAAAGGAACCAGAAGTTCAGAAATTTCCTGTTTCTCTTGTCCAAGATCTTCTGATGAGTGAAGAATATCTTACTGCTGAATGTAAATCAGCTTACTTAAGGTAATGATTATTGAAGAGATATAATATTAATGAAGAGTCTTCAGTATTAAAAAAAATATCAAATTACTCCTCTGTGAAATGTGATAAAAGAATCAAAGACAAATCATTTACAATAAACTTGATTTGATTTTTCAGAAGTAAACTTGTTGTGTCACAAGAGACTGTTATACAAACTGCCTGGCTTACAATTGGTCAACGTGAAAATGCGATATGGCAAGCTGTCCGCAAGATGCGCTTTACAGCTTCCAACTTTGGGCAAATCATTGGGGCAATTCGTCGAAACAGGTAAAAAAAAGGCCAATGTTTGTTCAGTGTTGTTTGTATTGCATACACTACTAATGTCAGCAATCTTACATGGTGTTTATAATTTTAACCTCCATTGATTTTTTAACAGACTGACTGCATCTCTCAAGAAGAAATTGTTGAGCTCTTACAATCTTGAAAAAAGAGCATCAATCCAGTGGGGATTAACCCATGAAAGAACTGCCATTGAAGAATACAGCAAGATTGGGGAAGTTACCGTTCTGGAGACAGGTAAATTAAGGGTAATTGACTCTCACATTAAAAGCTTAATTAAATACTAGTAAGCTTGTCTGATTAAAACTTGCCTGTTGTTGATGAAAACTACTATATAAGCAGAAATAGTGGGGACATAATTTTTGCATTATTAGCAAGGGTGCTGAGATTGCTAATATTGAATGTCACTAAAAATTAATTGTGTTTTATTTGTGATACATGTAGCTTCTTTAGTGAGCATTTCAAAACACTAAAATTACTTTATGCCAAAAAAAAATAAAATTCCATTTTTTAAGGAGAAATTACTTCATATTTGCATCTCACTGAAATGTCCACGTAAACAGTATTTCTATTTAATATTCTCTAAATTCATTGGACCAAGCAATTTTTGATTTTGTTTTTAAAACCGCAGAAAAGGTGGACATCTTAAAAATATTCAATTTACAGAACTATACATTCAAAACTTTCACAACCTAGGTTTATAAATTTGACAAATTCATGGTATGGTGCTGATTTTCTTTATGAACGAAGAAGCCCAGGTAATTAAGTTACATATTTCCTTTCAAATTTATTTAGCTTTTCCTTTTTCAGGAATTTGGCTGCATGAATCTGGAACTCTTGGGGCCTCCCCAGATGGTTTCATTCAAGGTGAATCTAAATGCAAACCTCATCTCCAAGTGAAGGGACAGGTTACAAGAACACCAGATATTATTGAGGTGAAGTGCCCATTCTCTGCAAAGTCTATGACAGTTAGTGATGCTTGTGCGAACATTAAGGATTTTTATCTTGGTAAGTAAATGTTTGTAAATATATATACATTTGTATCACCCAATATTAACTGACAGGTGTTTCATCTCTCCTGCACAGTTTTTTTTTTTGTGTGTGTTCATATTAAGTGTTAAGCTCTTTACAAGTAATATAATACATATTTTAATCATTTTTTCTTCACAAGGAAAAAATTCTCTGTTCTGACATTTTTTCATGTACATTTCAGTAAGCGACTCAGATGGTGGATTGCACCTCAGAACCAACCATGATTACTGGAATCAGGTCCAAGGACAACTATATTTGACTGGCACTCAGTGCTGTGATTTTGTAGTGTGGACTCCATTAGATTTACAAGTTGTCAGGATAATGAAGGATCCAGCATGGGAGATAAACATTAATAACATGATTGAATTTTACTTTGATGCATTTTTACCATCATTATGAAAAAAGAAAATTACAAACACAATGTCAGTCTTACAAGTTATCTTTTAATTTTTTTCATAAATGAGTTTATTACAGATGACAAGCAAATATTCAGATTTGTACCGTTTACTGTATATATAGCAAAATCAAATTTTGTGAAAGTCATTGTTGTTTTCAAGGATATCAACAACTTCATCATCAATAAAATGTTGAAATTTCAGACTATAATACCATGTTTGTTCTGCAAAATTTCAATTACAAAGTAAAATCTAATAAAAAAAAATATCTTTCTCAACCAACAAAATAATAATTTTACAATGATTATCAGTAAGATAATATTTTAATTTAGGATACAGTCAAACCTTATTACCTTGAACTTGATGGGACTGAGAAAAAAAAATTGAGATAAAATACTTAAAGAATGCATGGTTTTAGAAACACCAAAGTTCAACTATATAAATACTACCTTTGTATTTATATCGTATGTCTAATCTAATAGCCATAGAACATTTAGAAACTCATAATATACTAGGTGAATATCAAGGCCTCTTAGGATTTAACATGAAGTCTGTCTAAAGTTAATTCTATGTTTAACGTCACCCGTGCGCCTAGGTTTCGGAGAAATTGGCACTTTGAAAAAACAAACAAGTCCACATCTTTATGTCACCTGAGTCACTCAGGTGACCTAGCTATTGTTATCTGTTTTATCTGTCGTCCTGCGTTAACATTTGAACATTTTCAACTTCTCTAAAACGCTCAACCAATTTTAGCATAGAGCATCTATGGTTGAAGGGGAACAAAAATTGTGAATTTCATGGTCCTTGCACCCCCCCCCCCCTTTTGGGTCTGAGGGATGGGGCCAAAACCACTAAAATTAATTTAATGCAAACTTTAAACATTTTCTTCTTTACTCCTGGACATCAAGCAGTCAAACTGTTGGCATGATTGTAATAAACATTGACTCTTCTATCAAATTAGTGAATTTCATAGCCTTAGCACCTAAAAACTACATTATACAGAATTGGACAATATTTAGACCCTCTTTGAGGTATATTTGAGCTGAGTCTAATCAATCTCTCATTTAAAGATACAGGTTTACTGAATTGATTATTTAACAAAAAGCCTGTACATGATAACAAATATTTACAGTATTTTAATTCATGTAGATGTGTGAAGACCTGTTTGTTTGAAATTTTGTTGAATTTTTTCCACCTGTCCTTGTAGGTTTTGAAGTTTGTAGGTGACGTTAAACTTGGAATTAATCATCAAAGCTAGAATTCAATGGATGCTTATTCAATTTCATACTTGTCAGCTATTTCCTTTAAAAGGGGGGCCTGCAAGTTAACAAGAACAACACAAACCTGAAATATTTTAGTTGACAAGTGTCGGTATTGGGAGGGAATATGATCAATTATATCGTAATTCTTGATCCTTTCATTCGCACGTTCAACATGTATTCTGCTCCTTCCAATCTTGTAGCATAGCTCTGCCTCCTCTTTAGTGAAATGACATTTATTTGATAAAAATGGTGGTATGTTAAGAGTTACACCTGCTGGAAGTTTGTCGAATACATTAAACCCCTTGTCTGCTAGAATCATGTCACCAGGCTGAAGCATATTCAGAACATTACAATGGTCAACTATAGCTGCATCTGAAGTTGATCCCGGGTAGAGGTCAGAGCAGTAAACTAAAGCACCATTTGGGGCTACACAAGTAACTGCCTTCACTGTGTGGCGACTCTTGTAATTACTAAAAGACAGTGACTGACTGTTAAGGTCTGATGGAACATCTTGGGTGACCTCTGTTGCATCCATTGCTATGCGTGCACCTGAAAAATCTTCAAACGATCTGGGCATCGATCCTTGACATTTTACCTGACTGGGAATGCCAACTGCTTTCATTACTCCTTTAAACAATGTTTCATGAAGAGCACATACATACGTATTAACGATGTTAGAAATTGTTGCTCTGCTCGTGCCAAAACGATCTGCAAGATCAAGATCTCTACAGTTTAGTCTTAATTTCATCAGAGTCACAAGGAGCTGGTCAGCGACGCTAAAGCCTTTAACACTCCATCCCGCATAGTATGTAAAAGGACCCATTCTTTCCATAAGCTTAGCTAATATGTTGAACACCTCAGCAGGGAATGATGTATAAAGCAGCATCTGTAAGGATAAAATACTTATTTTTCAATTTAATCAAAAAGGTACATGTATTAGTTGAGCTTTCAAAGAAGAGTTTAGCTCACTTAACCAACACACAGGGATTATTCCATTCATGGTGTTTTCTAGAGATTATTATGCAGTTAAAGTATATCATTGAGGGAGTTAGCAAGATTCCATTTCCCCAAGGCCAGGACTATTTCCAAAGGCACAGTTTTATTACACTAACTGTTTTATTATACAGATACAAAAATAAAAAAAAAGTTAGATTACGAATGACGGGGAATTAGTTTCCGGACTAACGAACGGGGATAAGTCCATTAATATATTAGACTGATACAAAAGTAATATCTAGGGGATTACGGATAACTTGGTAATTAGCTTCTGACTCAGGGATTAACTCATTTGACTAATGCATGGGAATTAGTCCATTCACAGAGATTCACATTTTACTGCCTAACTACTGTAATCAGAAGAAGTATAATAATAACATCCAACAATCTACTTTTCTAATTTCTTTTAATTTTCATACATTCCAGAAAATATATTTTTAAAATTAAGCAATCATTTGAAGATTTTCTGTGACAAAAAAAAAATACCAGCTACCTAATGAACAAAAATTTTCATACAAGTTGGGAGGTGCAAACAAACAAGATTATTTTATTGTGAAATTATTTTATTTCAAAAAGAAAGTAAATTTTTAAATGGTTGTCAAAGTTTTTGCCAGACATGCATTTGACTGACAATTTGAATGTCCCTTTATTGTGTAAAAATGTCTGATTATTTGTTTTGATAAATTTTCTACTGTTGTTTCAGTAATAAAACAGTTATGGTATAGGGTGGAAAATAGCAAAATGGTTTCCTTCTGCAGAAAACTATTTAGTACTCCCTTGGGGAACCATAAATTTGCTTTTACCAATTCCATAGCAGTATACTGTTACTAGTAAACAGATGAGAAAACAATGAAAACTTAATTTTACAAGGGTTAATGTCTTAATTGTCCAGACTCGTAAAATTGCTGATGACAGTCCATATACATACCTTTTCTGGATCACTGATGATATTCCCTATCGACATGACCGGTTTTCTCAACTTTAGAAGTTCTAATTCTTTCCGGAGCTCCTGGATTTCTTTATCCTTCTCCTCTGTTAAAAGAAATTACATGCTTTTCTTCAAATGTACACTTCAAATTTATATAATTATAGATTTTAAATATTAAATAAACACATTTATTATTTTTGGTTATTGACTGTCAACAGATATATATTGTCAGACTGATATATTGCCCAGGGAAGATGAGGAGAAACCTCAAATTTTTGGGGGTACAACAAAAAGATGTACATATTAATATGTATATCAAGAAATATAATAAAAAAAGATGTACAAGCTTCCTAATTGCTACAGTCTACATTTATTAAAAAAAAATTCTACTAACAATGACATTTCATCCAAAATTCTATAGACCTGAAAAATAAAAAATAAAAAGTGGAAGATGAGAACCTGAATTGGCCTCAGAGTTGAAAACTGTTGATAAGCCATCCCCAGGCTCAGGCAACACATAGCTGTGATCATGGACACACAAATCTGGGTGTACACTGGATTCGTCACTAGTCGTTGGTGAAGTTACTGTGGTATCTACAGTTCTTTGCCGCTTTCGTCTAAAATTTGACAAAGTGTAAATCTCTACAACTGATCACTTTCAAATTTATTCATTAAATGACAAAGTATCATTACATTAAACTGCTTCTCAAATCTCAACCTAGTATGACTTGAGTATCTATTATAATTATTATAAATTCATTGCAATTAATATTTTAACAGTATACTCAAAGCATGAGTTTCATATAATGTACTGAATTATACATTTTAGGTTTACCTTTTGGGGGTATCTATTTCTGGGAAGTATCCAACGTTCTTACTGTAGGAAAAAATTGTGGGCCCCAGCTCCTTTTTCCCGTCCTGGAAGTGACAGCTACAAATTCTGTCGTTTGTACAGTACTCTCGATCAGCCCGGCTAGAAATAGAAAAACACTGAATGTTTATCAAACGGTCTCAACTTAAATTTAGGAACTCTTCATGACAGTCTGTAATCTGACTAATCATGAAAACGTTGATTCGAGGTGACGTAAGTTATCCTCGTATTTGACTTAAAATAATCAATAACCACAACAGTACTCACAACTGTACTGCACTTACCGACATCTTTCGATCCATTTTTTTCTTTCTTTTTCATCTAGTGGAAATCGAAACAAGGAGCAATCTTGTTTACTGCCAGTACGGTGGGTACAACCAAACGCAAAACAATACACCATGATGACTCATGTACCCGGAAGTCACAAAACGAAAGTGAAAGCGAACGAGACTTACAGACCCTATTGTCTACCCCTAGCATAACAAAGACTTTTTTTCAAAATGGTGATCAATTGGTAACGTGTTGTGACATGTCAAAAAGACAGAAAAAAGGGCCCTTTAGTTGCTGGACCTTAACTGAAATATGGATCAATTTTAGAATGAGACAAATTTTTACATCTAAATTGTCCTGCAAGAATTGAATGCTTTTCGAAAAAAAAACCCTTTTAAGAAATGAATTGATACCAAAGAAAAAATAATTCCCAATTTATTGCATCTTTTGAAGCTAGACATCATACAAATATACTGACACGCAAAAGAAACGCAACAAGCAGTAATCTACAAATGTTTGATTTTTTTATATTATGATGTTAAAAGCGAAGAAAGTGAGGCTAAAATCACTTTTCAGAACATCAGAGATTTGATAAAAATGTTAAAGGTTTATTTTTTTTTACTATACTAAGTCACATATGACTGTTAAAGCACCCCCTCCCAGCCACTCACGTAAATTATGCAAGACTGTCATAAACAACAATTGCAGCTCAATTTCTACGATACATTAAGTTCATTAACATCAAAATCTGAGCGAAAGAAATATTCTTTGGCATTTTTAAATGCTCCTTTTTCAGATAATTAGGTCGAATTTTCTCTAACTTAGAGCAGTGTAGCCAACCTTTGACTTCCAGTAAAAGAACTCTCCTTAATGCATATGATACGTAAGGCCCTGTTTAGGTGTTATGTAGGAAAAGTTTGCATCAGCAACTCTCCATCACATTTACAGTGAAATTTTCCAGCTAAAGCAATGGAAAGCGTACATAAGCCATTTTCAAGTAACCTTAGCATCGTTGCGGGAAACGAAAAGATTATTTTTTTTAATTTTGCTGCATTACTTATGATGAACAGTAAAAAACCCTTTCAACTTCATAATATTGCCAAATGTTACGTTAAATATGCAATTTTTGATTTCTCTTAAGTAGACTCAGACTTGAGTTCCGGTTATGGTATTATATCGTTCAACCGTTAAATTACCGATGTTTACCAAATTGAAAGTATTCATAAGTTTAAGATACAAAATTTTTTACTTTACATAATCATTTCCCCCTAAAGTAGCGTGTTGCGTTTCTTTTGCGTGTTATTATATATACTTTTAAGGTCATACGCAACGTAGTTTGAACTTTTTTTGGTTCTCCCCTAGAGTTGAAGAGTTGCACTAAATGAAGGACCTGTGTTCAGTATTTTTAATGTCTGTAAATGGATTTGTACACCTCTTCTTAAACAATGTTTGAAGAAAAAAAATCTGAAATTTATGTTCTAAAATTTTTGTAAATTTTTATTTGAATAATGCAAAAATTTTCAAAATTTGATATCTTTTCAAAACCTCTGGTAAGGCATGCTGATTTTTTGTCTATAAACATGAAATTATATTATAAGTCTAAATTTGGCATATCTTGGAAATCTATCAGTAGGTAAGGTACGTTGCGTATGTATTTAAACCTTTAATCTATTTTTCTTACTTTTTCAGTTACATGTAATTATTGAAATACATTGAAACACTTTTGACAATATTAACTTAAACCTCTGAGGACATATAGAGAGCTCTGTCCATGTTATGCATAAATGGTCCTGTATATATACCAATTGATTGAATAACACTTAATGTTCCATTTAAAAGCATTAGAATAGAATATAAACTTAGTGCTTTCATATCGTTTTTAATTTTTTTCCCTTAAAAGCAGATCTTGGTTTTTCAATTTTAGGCAAATATATGTATATTTAAGTACTTTCAATGAAGAAAAATATTATGAGCGTACTTTGTGATCTAAGAAACAAAGCATGTTTTTTAATCCTCAGAAGCAGTTCTGTCAATTACTAGATGCATATTTTTAGATCAGAGGTTGTGTTTTATATTAAATATCGAATATAACTTTAAAAATTGGCCGTTTTCGGGTCCTTTTTCAATGTATGAGGAAATTTACGCATTTTGTGACGCCATTTAAGAAATAAACAACGTTATTCAGTGAATATGGCGTTATATTTGCATATTCATTGCTCTCTCCCACTATGAACCTGCAGCCAGCAACTGCGTTCAAAGGACTATTGACGCAACTGCTTCTGCTATGAGTGCAATTGCTCTAGCTCACTCTTGTTGAACAAGTTCTAATACAGAAATATTTCATGTTGAGAAGTATATATATGAAGTGTTTCGTAAAAGCACTAAAAATAAGTTTATAATAGTATTTTTTGGAAAAAAGAAATTCAGACTATTTAAAATTGCTGATTTATATCTTTAAAAAATTAATTTTGGTCAGTGTATTTAATTGTAAAATAAAACTTTTTGAAGTTGTAGATAACTGCCATATTTTTATTTTTTCATATCATATATATTTGTACAAAGAAAGATAACTCTTCACACTCGGGTAATAACACTCAGAAAGAGAAAATTTCTATAACTAGTATATCAAGAATGATTTCAGCTTTTAAAAATAAATATGAAAAGCTTAAAAAAAAAATCATAGAAAAGCATTCTGGAATAATAATCATTATAAAACAACGATTATTCAGTGAACATGGCATTATGAATAGCAACTGCTCTGATGGCATATTTTCCATGATGTGCTAGCGCGCATCATGGAATATGCCAGCAGAGCAATTGCTATTCATAACGCCATGTTCACTGAATAACGTTGTTTATTTCTTAAATGAATAGCAATTGCTCTGCTGGCATATTCCATTATGCGCGCTAGCACATCATGGAAAATATGCCAGCAGAGCAGTTGCTATTCATAATGTCATGTTCACTGAATAATCGTTGTTTATTACTTATATTTGCATTCTTTGATTTTTTAAAAGAATATCAGAGGAAATCCTGACTTACATGAGGACGCGGTCACTTGTTTACAGTAATGAAAAACATACAGCTTTAAAATCATTACACTTGATCAATGATCCTTTTCTCTAATGAATCACAAACAATTTATAAAGTATTGCCCTCTCAAACAGTTATTTGGATACAAGCAGGGCCGTCATCACATTCTCCTAATCTTTGTTTTGATGCAGTTGTGACGTCATCGATCAACGTTATTGAAACCCTCCGACAAAAATTAATAATTAAAACATTATGATGAAAGATGAAGATGCTTTTATAATGATTATTATTCCAGAAAGCCTTCTTATGATTTTTTTTAGCTTTTCATATTTATTTTTAATAGCTGAAATCATTCTTGATATACTAGTTAAAGAAATTTCCTCTTTCTGAGTATTATTACCCGAGTGTGAAGAGTTATCTTTCTTTGAACAAATACATATGATATGAAAAAATAAAAATATGGCAGTTATCTACAACTTTAAAAAGTTTTATTTTACAATTAAATACACTGACCAAAATTAAATTTTTAAAGATATAAATCAGCAATTTTAGATAGTCTGAATTTCTTCTTTTCCAAAAAATATTATTATAATCTTTTTTTGAGTGCATTTACGAAACACTTCATATATATAACTTCTCAACATTGTATATTTGTGTAGTAGAACTTGTTCTACACGAGTGAGCTAGAGCAATTGCCCTTATAGCAGAAGCAGTTGCGTCTATAGTCCTATGAACGCATTTGCTGGCTGCAGGTTCATAGTGGGAGAAAGCAATGGATATGCAAATATAATGCATTGACTAGTCAGTATATTACGTCATATTTTTTTTTTATAGATATGCAGTCTCCAAAGATCTAAGTGGTTTTCAATGCATTGTTAACTAAAACTAAGCAATTTCAGTTTTTTAAGAAATTCACAGGGCCAAAAAAGCAAAAGAGAAACCTTGTTCTTTAAATATTCGCGAATAAATTATCAAACTTATCAAATTTATGCACTGAATAATTTTTTTTAAATCAAATTTTATTAAAATCCTCGTGAAAATATCATGATAACGTATGTCGTGATACGAGGCCTACGTTTTTAAGGTCTCACCAGGAAATCCTACAATCTTAAGAAAGGAATAGTTGCTGCTACTTTTATCGTTTAAAATTTGTAAGAGCAAAGGCTTAAAACTATTTAAGCTTCGGTGAGGATTTAATACAGACATTTCTGATCTGAATTTTCTGAAGGCAAAAACACACAAACACAAGTCAAATTTAAAAAGGTAAAGTGATATTCGTTTAATTCGAAAAAGTCGTTTATTACTCTCATTGACGGACAGTAGAAAAATCATTATTTTTTTATCACTCAATTGAATTAAAAGTATGAGGTATATATGAATATCATATTTACTATCATACCTATCGAATTCACTTTAGATGAAACATTACTTATTAATCAGAACATATTTACATCCACTGAATATTTTCCTTCATTTCTTAAGAAAAAAAACCCATTGCGTTAATAACTGCATGAACTTCATAAGGCATGTCGCCTGTATATGCCTACACAGATTTATTGATCTGTGGCTGTTCCAACAATGAAAACGTTTGCATCATTAATACAATAATTAATCTTTTTTAATCTTTTTAATTCTTCATTTTAATGATTATTTAAAGAGATATAAATATAAAGAATAAATGTCCTTCTTTGTTGGTTATTACTGGAATTCACGGTCGCAGCTATTGCAGAAAAAAATTACATAACCCGCTTACAAGGGTTATGTATCTTTTTTTTTCTGCAACGGCTGATTCCGTTAATTCCAGTAATAACAGACAAGGAATGCATTTTATTATTTAAATTACATTTTTTTCTGTGCTTCCATCTAAAATACATCCATATTAAGTTTAAATAAATTGCCTATAAACGTTTTAGGTAAACTATCATGAATTATTTGTTAATGAAAATGTTGGTAGTAGTTGAAAACAGAAATCAACATGTGTACCAAAGAACAGATTCCAATGAGCTGAGTACAAAATTTTTTCTTCATTATAAAACACGGATGATATAATTCATTGAACTGCTCGGAGTATTTTCCTTTGAAAGTTACCTCTCTTATCAGAGAAAAATTACACCTATGAATGTTACTGTTAACTAATGCAAAAATAGATATCACAGA